TCTTCTGTCCCAATAACTCTTAAATTTGGTCTTTTTATGCTATCCCATATTTTCTGAATGTTATGCTCATGGTTTCTTACCATTTTCACTGTGAGGTCTACATCCTTTTGAAGATTATGTATTTTATCTTCATTGTCTGAGGTCCTGTCTTCCAAGTGGTCAAATCTGTTGGTAATGCTTTCACCTGAGCATTTAATTTGGTTTATTGTTTCTTTTATTTCAAGGATTTCTGTTTTTTTTTTCAGTACGTCTATCTCTGTATTGAAGTAATCTTTTGCTTCCTGTATTTTTTATATATAGCTCTCTGTCAAAAGATCTTTTGCTGCCTGTATTTGCTCTCTCATATCATCCTTTAATTCACAGAACATGTTAATTATATACATCCTGAACTCCTTCTCTGTGCTGGCCATGGATTCTAATAATGTGATATCTTGATTTGTTTGGGGCACTTTCTTCCCTTATCTTTTCATATTGTTTGTGTATCTTCCCTTTTAGCTGTGTGATCCAAGGTGTTACCATTTTTACCCTATAGGCTTATAGTGCCCCTGTAGGGATCCAATATCTCTCCTTTGAGGTGAAGGACAGTGTTAACTGATCCCAATATAAACAGTATACACTCTAAAAACAAATGTTTGCTATTAAGACATTTACAGTTTGATCACAATGTACACAAATGGTGAATTCAATTATTATGTACAATATACTCAGTAGGTTTGTAAAAAGGTCTACAATTTCTGATGGTGGACAGAGAACCAGGGGTGAGGAGTAGGATGATATCCTGATGAGGTAGGAGGTGAGGATATAGAGTTATTATATCTCAGGAAGTGTGAAAGAGAAATGTAAGGAGGAAGATTAGTAGCAGGAAAAGGGAGAGGATGTAATTTTGGGTAGACAAGTAAAGTACGTGGGAAGTCAGTAGATTACATAAAACAAACACACATATAAAGAAACATTAAAAATGTTAAAATAGTAGAAATCGATGGAAAAAAGATAAAAAAGAAAAAAGAATATACAATCTAGCTGTAATATACTATTCAGATGTCCCAGTCTTCAAAATCCTAATTCATGCAGAGTACTTGGTTCCACATATGTTGGGGATGTGAGGGCAGGAGAACAGCAAGGGAAAGGGAAAAAAAAATCTTGAAGGAAGAAACAGGGCTTGTTTTGGTTGGTGATCAGTATCTTTCCTTCTTCCCTTCCAATACATTGTCTGTTGTTAGCTGGTATCTCCGCCCTCAGGATGGTGAAGGTAACCAGGGTGTCACTGTGCCAGGGTAGTGGCTGCTGGTGAGAGAGGGGAGTTAGAAACTGGGTACCTGGCCAGACAGAGTTCCAAACTGGGAGTTGCCTCCACTGAAGATGGTGATGAAGGTGACCCAAGATGGAGGTGCCTGCTTTCGGTGATGGGGTGTCGGGTCGGGTGGGGGAGCTGGGTGATCTGTTGGACGATGAATTCAGAGATGAGCTCTGTGGAGTGCAGTGTGTGGCTGTGGCTGACTTCAGAGCCTGTGTGAGGTTCCCAGGTGCAGGCAAGCTATGGCACATAGGGGACTATCTCCACTGCTACAGAGTCCCAAGATGGCAGTGACCAGGGGTGCCCCACGTTAGTAGATGGGGGTCCACATGGGAGTGGTGGCCAGAGTTCCTGGGCGTGGGAAGCTGCTGGGTGCCGTGTGTGGGAGCTGCGTTGGTAATTTCTGCATGAGTGGGTGGCCGAAAGTTCTGCTAAGGTGCACATGGTCCCACTCTGGTACCTGGTCATCCTGCATGAGCAAGTAGTTGGGAGACCTACTCTGACGCCGAGGCCTGGAGCCCTGGACTGCCACAGTGACCTATGGTGACCATGATTCCTGTGTAGGAGCAGGAATATCGCTCACAGAGAAGCAGTATTGTCACTACTTGAGTCCTAGTTCACAGAGCAACACAGAACGCTGCCTCCCTGTGGCCTGCCATATTGGATCTCCTCAAGATCAGAGGATTCTAATGAGAGAACAGAAAGCATTCAAAATAGCGTTTCTAAATAAGAATTTGAGAAAAGATGGCATACACAAAAGTAGCATTAGAATCCTAAGACTTGGAATGAACCTTCAGAGAACATAATAACCAAAGAGCTAAATCAGACATTCCCTAAACAGTAGATCTCAAAGCTTAACCTTAATATTAACAGAATGGCTGCTAATACATTCCTTCTCTTTGGGGACTGACAAAATGTCCAGGAACGATAGATATGATTTGTGGGATGGGTTCAGGAATAGTTGTCTCACCATGAAGGTGGAATGAAAAAGTCAGGCACACCTGAGTTAGATCCACAGCTCTACCTTTTATCCATTGTTTGACCTTCAGCAAAGTACTTAATATCCCTAAAAGACATTAATAAAGAACTCTTTCTCTTCGTATCCTGTTTTCCATTTCTGTGTTGTTTTTTCATGCTGCTTTCTAATACATTTTATCAGCACTGTCTCCCAACCCTTTTATTGAGGTTTTAATTCCTCTTGTCATAGTTTTAATTCCCAAGAGCTCTTTTATTTTCTCAATAGTCCTTAAAATTTCCTCTTCTTGTTTTATGGTTGCAATATCTCCTCTAATCTCTCCGAGGATGTCAATGATAGATGTTCCTTTTTAAAGTTTTCTTCTGAGCTTCAGGGATCTTCCCCCAGAGAATAGACCTGCAGTCTTCTGCTGGGGTCGGGAAAGTGGAATTATTAGACTTTGCAGAGTGGAGGAGGAAATTTGCAGGTCTGTTCACTTTTTGGACTGACTTACAGTCAGTTTTCTTGGTTTATGCCTACTTACAGATGAACCTGGCACTGCAAGTTCCTGAACCATTTTGGAGTTCTCTGGTGTAAATTCATTTGCCTCTTGGCTTTCCTTATTGATGACTTGGGATGTAGCTTTCTCAGTTGTATTAACTCAGTTACTATTTTTCCAACTGCTATCTAGTTCCTAAAATGTGTCACTAATACTGTCTTCTGTCCTGAATCTTCTAACCTTGTGTTTTGATGCCTTTATAGAATTCCTTTACTATATATGTATTTTTGTTGTTGTTGTTTTTGGTACTGGGGATTGAACCCAGGGGCATTTAACCACTGAGCCACATCACCCAGCCATTTTTATTTTTTATTTTTGAGACAGGGTCTTGGTAAATTGTTGAGGCTGATCTCAAACTTGCAATCCTCCTGCCTTAGCCTCCCAAGTCACTGGTATTATAGGCATGTACCACTGTGTTCTGCTCCTTTACTATAATTTTTATCAGGGCTTTGAGGAGGGATCAAAGCTAAATGTGTGGGTTCAATATGCTACCTTTAACCAAAAGCATCTTAATTTTTTTATGTCTTTATATCCATTCATCGCTTTGCATTTCAACTATCTCCAAATGAGACACTCTTACCACTTTATTTCTGGAATTTTTCTTCTCTCATCTTGTTCCCTAGGTTTGCACTACACAATGCTGTAGATTCATTTTCCTGAAAAATTGTCCTGTGTACAGCTTTGATAGTAAATTATTTATTCAGTTGCTTTTTTATTTTTGGATGCCAGGGATTGAACTCAGTAGCACTTAATCACTGAGCCACATCCCCAGCCCTATTTTGTATTTTATTTAGAGACAGGGTCTCACTGAGTTGCTTAGGGCCTCGCTGAGTTGCTGGGGCTAGTGTGGAACTCGTGATCCTCCTGCCTCCACCTCCCAAGCCTCTGGGATTACCTGCATGCACCATCGCACCTGGCCTTCAGTTGCTTCTTGATGCTTACAGCATAGAGTCTACATTCCTTAACCTGACATTCCAAGCCTTCCACAATTTAGCCTCCCATCTTTTTTCAACTTTATTTTGGTTACCAGGTATTAAACTCAGAGATGCCTAACCATTGAGCTATATTCCTAGCCCTTTTGATTTTTTTTTTTTTAAATTTAGAGACAGAGTCTCACTAAGTTGCTGAGGCTGGCTTCAAATTTATGATCCTCCTGCCTCAGCCTCCTGAGCCACTGGGATTACAGGCTTGTGCCACCACACCCAGCTCAATCTTATTGTTTAGGCATTCTTTTAAAACACTCATTTCCATATCCCTGTAGCTGGGCTTGCCTGGTGATACCAGTACATATAACAGTTTATTTGTTGATTTTGAGTGAATAATTTCAAACTCCTTAAGTGAAGACCACTCTGACCAAAGGCCCCTTAAAGCACAGTTCAGTCCAGGATTCAAAATCTGCATTTTATATATACTATTTTTTGATTGTGTATACTATTGCTTCAGTCAGTTTTTTTTTTTTTGCCACTGTGACTAAAAGATCTGACCTGAACAATTTTAGGGAAAAAAAGTTATTTGAGAGCTCACAGTTTCAGAGTTCTTAGTCCATAGAAGGCTGGCTGTATTCCATGGGGCTCAAAGTGAGGCTGAGCATTGTGGTGGGAGAGTGTGGTGGCGGGAAAAAGCTCACATGATGATCAGAAAGCAGAGAGGGAGACAGAGAGAGTCCACTCCTAGATACAAAATATGTACCCCAAAGCCATGCCCCCAATGAGCCACTTCCTCCAGGCATAGCCCACCTGCCTCTAGCCACCACTCAGCTAATCTGATCAGGGATTAATTCCCTGATTAGTTTAAGGCTCTCACAACCCAATCATTTCTCCTCTAAACCTTGCATTGTCTCACATGTGAGCTTTTAGGGGACACCATATCTAAACAATAACAACCATATTGTATAATAGTTGTTTCCATGGTGTGTATTACTTGACACCTTATTTATTTTCTACTAGGCTCTGAAGGTGCAAAGATGAGTAGGATGTGTAAATTATAAATAATAAATTGCTATCATATGGTGCCAAGTTTAAGCTTCAGCTCAATGGCTGTTTTACATGTTGTGATTTAATATTCTTGTAGGGTTTAACCTTATAATTTATTATATCCTTCCCACAAAAAGAATGTTCTGACTTTCATATTAAATATGTTTATATCATTTTCCTGTTGTATATTGTTTTCTAATGATATTTTCTCTCCATCAGAATTGTCTTTGCTGACCTCTTCATTATGAATCTAATTCTTTGGGTGGAAGAATCATTAGCTGCCATCTCCTTTGGTACTCTGATAAGTATCTTTGCAATATGATTTGGGATTTTAGTATCACAGACATTTTTGGTGCATACTTTGATTTTTTTTTGTGGGTGGAGTTCTTGGGTATTGAACCTAGGGGTGCTTAACCACTGAGCAACATTCCTAGCCTTTTTATATTTTATTTAGAGACAAGGTCTTGCTGCATTGCTTAGGGCTTCACTAAGTTGCTGAGGCTGGCTTTGATCTCATAATCCTCCTGACTCAGCCTCCTGAGCTGCTGGGATTACAGGTGTGTGCCACTGTGCCTAGCTTGGTGCATGCTTTGAAGGCTTGGAAAATATAAACTTTTAAAATTCTGCTTTTGACCATTGAATAATGCTTAAAACAATTTTACTGCTTCTGTACTATACATGATATAGAAAATGTACCATTGGAAAACTACAGAGAACAACTATTTTAGAATTAAAGATACAAAAATATTAAATCAAAGACAGTAACATTTTCAAAGACACTGTTGAATATATTTCTCATTTTAAAGATTTTTTCATTTCCTTTTATCTTTGGTGGAAAAAAAGGACATGTTGTAGGAAGTCTGACACCAACCAACTTAGAAAAGTAATGAAGTTTTATAGTTGGAGAAGAAGATATAGTCAGATAAATGGGGCTATTCAGTTTACAGATTTGAAGTTAGTTTATTATACATGTAGGAAAAAGGAACAGGATACCAAAAAGACTAAATGAGGTCACACTTCACGTAGAGTATATGAAGATCTAGCATGCAATTGCAGTGGAGAAGTCAGAAAATACAAACAGAAATGTGGAATTTCACAAAGAATAGAAGAAAATATTGAAAGCTATTGAAAACTACTAAAGAGATAAATCCTTAGGCAAATTCTAAGAGAACATTTTAATGTTATAAATTATTTCATGTTGGAATAGTTACTAGTCTTGTTCAATCTCTCCTTTGAATTTATAAACAAGGATAAACATCTTTATTGATTGTTAAGCTGTGTGCCATCTATATGGTGGCTACTGGCTCCATGAACTTATTGAGAACCTTAAATATGGTTAGTCCTCATTGAGATGTGCTGTAAATACAAATTATACACTAGTTTTATTTTTTATTTATTTATTTTTATATATTTATTTTTTAGTTATAGGTGGACACAATATCTTTATTTTACTTTTTGTGGTGCTGAGGATTGAACTCAGTGCCTCATGCATGGTAGGCACATGCTCTACCTCTGAGCCACAACTCCAGTCCCTATACACTAGTTTTAATACTTAGAATAATAAAACAAAAAAATATAAAATATCTTTCTGTTTTTTTTTTTTTTTTGTGGTACTGTGAATTCAACCCAAGACCTTGTGCATGCTAGACAAAGTTCTACTACTGAGCAGCCTCTCTGCTTATGATCACTAATCTTTATATTGGTCAAAACTTTAAATTATAATATTTGGACATGTTAGATTACATCAATTATGTTCTTCTTTTTAAAAAAATTTAGTTGTTGATAGACCTTTATTTTATTTATTTATCTGTAATGCTGAGAATTAAACCCAGGGCCTCATACATGCTAGGCAAACACTCTATCCCTGAGCTACAATCCAGCCCCAACTATGTACTTAAAATTGTTCTTACCTGTTTCTTTTTCACTTTTTAATGTGGATACTAAAACTTAAAACTACATTTGTGGCTTGCATATTTCTATTGTACAGGGCTGATTTAGCCTTTGCCCATATAATATTCCACATCCTGTCCAGATTCAAGATTCTATGCCATTACTGTGATTCTGTCTGTATAAATTTATTTCAATGTCATTGCATTCTGATTGTTACATCATTTATTTTTGAATAATTTAGATGTCCATGTCACCCAACCAGATCCTGTGGCAGATTCCTGAATAGAGCTTCTTCACAAACCATTTCTTGGCATTGTAATTGGTGGCATTTTATCCTTTGGCTGTATTTTTATTGAACTTTTTCATTATGAAAAGTATTTGGTGAGTATCATGTCTTAATAATCTCAAAAGTTTTGATTTTCAGAATTTTAACTGGCATAATAATTCTACCTATTTATGGGGTACAATGTGATCATTTATTTTTACATTATGTTTAGTGATCAAACCAAGGAGGTTAGAAAATGGATACCTAAGTATAGTTAAGTTAGGAATAAATTCTAATGTTTTACAGCACAGTAAGATGGCTAAAGTGTACAACAGTTTATTACATATTTTATAAAGAACTAGAAGAGAGGAGTTCAAGTTTTAATTTTTTTTTGTGGTACTGGGGATGGAACTCAGGGCTTTATATCTGCTAAGCATGTGCCCTGTCACTGAGTTATACCCCCAACCCCCAAAGTTTTAATTTTAATAAATTATTTTTCCTGCATTTCCTGTATTTCAAGGGGGGTTAAACTGAAGTATGATTGTTTGTCAACTTTTTCACTGCTGTAATTAGAGGACCCAACCAGAACAACTGTAAAGGAGGAAAGTTTTATTTGGGGGCTCATGGTTTCAGAAGTCTCAATCCATAGACAGCAGGCTCCATTCCTTGGGGCTCAAAGTGAGGCAGAACATCATGGTGGAAGAGTATGGTAGAGGGAAGCAGCCTACGTGGTGATCAGAAAGCAGAGAGAAACTCCACTCTCCAGATACAAACTATGTACCCAAAGGCACATCCCCAATTCCTACCTTCTCCAGCCACACCCTACCACTTGCGTTCTCACTCAGTTAATCCCTATCAGGGGGTTAATTCACTGATTGGGTTAAGGCACTTCACAACCCAATCATTCTTTCTCTGAACCTTCTTGCATTGTCTCACATGTGAGCTTTTGGGGGATATCTCACATCCAAACCATAAAATGATAATACTTCACTTATCCTCATTTTATCCAGAAAATAGGAATCTGACTCAGGGAGATTTCCAAGAGAAATGTATTCATTCACTACTTTTAAAAGTGATTTTTAATTGAAATTTCTATAAAGATTTACTTTTTTAAAAAAGTAATCACCTTTTATTAAGCCTTTCCAGATAACTTAGAAAAGTTGTTCTCAACTGAGCCTTTGTGAGGTTTAGGGATATGGGATCCCTTGGGTGGGAGGCAGCTAAATATGGGAAGAGACAGGGCTAGGGATGTAGCTCAGGGGTAGAGTACTTGCCTTTCAAGATGGGAAGTGGCAGCTCTGATTCTTATCTGTTTTTCATAGTGGCCTTCCATGGGCAGTTTCATTTATAATTCCTCTGCCAAAATCATTTTGAAGGCCATTGAGTGGGTCGTCATGTGTACTGAGCTGTAAGTAATGGTTTTCTGTCTTTTTCCTTTCTGTCAACTGTTAGTTCTGGTGTCAGGATGCCTGCTCCTATACCTTTTCTCTTTGTTACTTTTAATTTCTTATAGTTCAAGAATTCTAATAACAAAATAGTTAGAAATGCATTTAAGTGAATAAATAATGCTCTTTGATTGAAGTGCAATGGCTTTAGTACCCCAGCTTTGTAATGACTCTTTCAGTTGTTCTGCATTCTTTTTTTAAGATTTCCTGATTCTTGACTGCATTCTGGTTCTGGGAACTGGCCAATTGGGGTGTTACCATGGAGGGATTTTTGGAGATGGACAAAGACATCATGAAGTAAAATGCAATAGCCAACTGTGTGTTTTTATAACACTTTTGTCAAACAAAACTGTCAAGTCTTCAAAAATCAGGTTTAATCATGTACATTAAGTACTCACTTTTTAAATAGCATTATGACAAATTTGTTTGAAAGATAAACAATAAAATCTGTTACCTTGTCAGCAACTAAATATTTAACATGCTGCAGAATAGATTACAGTAACCATATTTTCCAGATGTTTTTTGATGAGAAAGTAATTTTAAAGCGAAAACTAAGAGGTTCTTTCAACGAATTTTCATTTTAGTGAAGAGCACTGTGTACAACCTATATATATATTTATACAAAAGACTGTTGTGTACAACTTTGTACATGTTTACTATCTATAGTGATAACTGTTCCCAACCATACACACCATTCTCACACCCAAGTATATATTTTATGTGATACTTTAAAATCAAATTTTAGCTCTATAGTAGTGAAAGAAATTACCTCATTCTTTCAACATTTGACCAAAATATAATCCACACAGAGATTTTTTTAAAATATGCATATTAAAAAGTATATTTAATAGAATTATGTGTACTGTGCTATGAAGACATTTGGAAAGGCTGCATGTCAATAGATATTCAAAGGCAAAGTGGCATTTGATTCTGTTTTTTCTGTTGTATAACGTAGCTGCTGGTGTGTTTGGCATTTACAACCTTCCATTTCTGAAGAGAAATTATTTTTAAATATGTATAGATGACATATGAATGTTAACCCATAAAAAGGGAGGGTAAGGAGGCAAAGTATAGAAGTTTATTGGGTTAGACAAATGAGAATTAAGGAAAAGGAGAGCAGATGGGAATGGGAAAGACAGTAGAATGAAACAGCCATAGCTTTCCTATGCTCATCCATGAATCCATCATGAGTGAAACTCCATATCATGTACAACAAAAATAATGGGATCTTAATTAGAATGGTTGAACTCTATGTATGTATAATATGTCAAGGTATACTCAACTGTCATGTATATCTAAAAACAACAAATAAAAAAGAAAAAAATATTTATAGAGAAAATTATACAGCTATTGATGAGTTTCAAGTGAGAATGTAATTATATGAGCAGAAAAACATGGGTAAGTAGCAGCATTGCTTCTGACTAGAGAAGATATGACCAACATCTGTAACTACATAAGTAAGGGAATATATTTTTGGTATGAGATTGATAGATGAAGGTTGGGAACACAGAGTTAAAGGTTTAGGGGGAAAAAAAGGTTTGAGAAGTATGTGACAATCTATTGCAGAGATTTGGGCTCATCCATGTACACTGATAAAGTTTGTTTGAAACCTGTTGTTTCTATTTTCAGGTCTCATCAGACATAATATATGTTTGATTTTCTTAGTCTTATAAATTTTAAGATTGTTCAGAAGCTACAGCCTACTGAACTATTTTTGTTTATGTGCTGAGGTAAAGACATAAGAAACCAGTGTATCTTAAACTTTCTAAGTTTGTATTGTTGAAGTTAGAAGTCTGGGTTTAGAAATACATAAGTTGAAATACATGTTAACTGCATGGTTTCTGCAACTTGGGATTGGTTTTATATTGTATTTACCCAATAACACTTTTTAACTTTGGTGTACCTGTGAAGTTAATGCTGCTTTGGAGGAAAGTTTAAATAGACAGTGATTTCTCTCTGGCTGGTTACTATATGTGCTGCATACTATTCAGTTAACATAAAATAGGGGGCTGATTTGATATTTAGACATATAAAATATCTGGTTCAATAATGTTTTCTTTTAATAATTAAAGTTTTCTTTGGAGCTTAGGGCAGGATTGTATTTTGTGGAATTGAGGTTGTTGCTTTTTTATTTCTTTCATTTATTATCATGAATAGTTCTTTTTACTCCATCCTCATTTTTTTCCTCCCTGATTGTTAC